TACTTACCGATGAATCGTAGTGCAAATGGAGAGAAAGATATTGAGGGAGGAGATACTAAAGGAGACAGAATAAACAAACAAAATGTTTAGTCTTTTAACCGAAAATGATGGAGAAGAGAGGGAGGAGGTGAGTCTGACTTTTAGGTCTCTGGCTTGAGGGAACGCTGGATGGTAGCCCCATTGACCATCAGCGGGGCCAAATGAAAGGTTTTGGGGAGAAGGAAAAACACTCAGAACTTCTGAGTTGAATGTGGCAATTGCACATCAAGGGCTGATGTAACCAAAGTTTTGCTCACATGGGTATCTTTATTTGAGCCCTTATGATGCTCTACTTTGGGCCCACGTTTGGGAAATTTGACTGCACCTGATTTTCTTTTTTTGTTGTTGTGATAAAGGACACATACACAAAATTTCCTATGTTAAGTCTATAGTTCAGTAGTGTTAAGTACATTCATATCGTATGGCCGTCACCGCCATTTATTTACAGAACTCTTTTCATCTGGTAAAACCGCATCCCTGTGATGGCACCTGTTTAGAAAGGTAAGTTCAGTGACTCGTAGTAGAAGATGGTTTATAAACACCATGATTTTTCTGGAAAACTTAAAAAAACCCAGTGATATCATGGTGATGGTAAGTGATTTGTGACTTTTGTGCAAAGCTCTTACGATTAGAGTAATTTTTTATGCCACCGTCTAGTCAAATATCCAAATTGGTGCATGTTATCGTAGGCAATTGCTCTCTATTCTTTCTGGAAAGGCAGGGGGTGTGATGATATCTCTGGGCTTTATGTGCAGGTTTTTTTTTTTTTTTTTGAGAAATAAACTTTTTAATTTTAATTTTTAATTTTTTTCTTAAAAATCATTGTACTCTTCTGAAGTTAAAATAACTCGTTTCCAGAAATTTTGAGTCAGGTATTGGACATTTTGGATAAATGATTCTATTGGTTATATTGAAATCAAGGGCAGGCCAGGTGCTCTGAGGCCAGGTGAATCTGGTTGTCTGTGAAATCGAGACCAGCCTCCACCTTATTGGTTGGGACTCCTAGTGGTCTTTGGGGCTGGTGAGAATGAGAAGGCAGGTCGTGATCCCCACGAGACCTTGTACCATAGTTGATACAAAATGTGGTTATGAAATTTTAAAAAATCATAAAATTAAAAAAAATCATAAAATTGCCTTTGTTAGTGAGATGCCCTCTGGGGGTGTGTTTTCTGGATTTCTGAGAGGGAGTTGGAGGCAGATCATGAGATTTCCCTCACAAATACGATGTGGGTCCTTAGGGCTGTTGGAACATCCAGCTCCAGAAATACAAATGGTGACATTGATGGGTAGAGTAATAACACATAGGAGGCTGCAAAGTGTTTTGATTCAGACTATTTTTATGAAGGCTACAAATGTCATTGTTCCTTTCAATGAAAGAAGAATGCAAGGTTACCGCATTCTGCCTGGGATTGTGCCTGGCTGGGGCTCCCTATGTCTCCAGTGCTGCTGGATGGTTCAGGGGACAGCTCCATCTGAGAGAGGGGAGGGAGTAAGGCAATGATACGTTATTTTAGGATTGGTAAATGATTGTTCTCTGGAAAGGGCCCATTAGATTTAAATAAGTTTTTCTCCCAAATCCCTGTTTCGCTTGCACAAAGATGTCTAATAACAAATGCTCTTTTTACTGATTCTACAAGGTTCCTCTGGCAACGCAAACATGGCTAAACCTGTCTTGTCACCCTTTTCCTTTTATATATCTGTGACCCCTGAAGTTACAGGTCAAGTAGAAAGCAAAGTAATCACTGTGATTATTTCACCGTTACATATGAATGAGCCAATTTTTGAAATGAAGCCTTTGTCTTTTATTTTGTCCTTGGGCAGATGAAGCTGTCTATCAAAAAAGTGACTGGATGGTTCTCTTCGATATGTATTAACCTTCAAAATGTCCTTCATCAGGCTTTCCAGTGATATCTAACTGGGCAAAGGGGGAAGAAAGGAGAGCCTAAGAGGACCATGTGGGAGGCTTATGCACACCTGGAGGTGACATCAGGACTTCCACCATATTCCATAGGTATGAACTCAGCCCCTTGGCCCCCGGGTGCCGGGAGTCATGGAAGATGTAGTTGCTGTCCAGAAACATCTCTACCCTGTAGAAGGTGGACAGCTAGCCATCTCTGCCACCAGTCCTACATGAGAAAAGCAAATCAGGCATATAGCTAAGTTGGAGACATTGTAAAAATTTACCCAGGGGCACCTGGGTCGCTCACTCAAGTGAGCATCGGCGTCAGCTCAGGTGATGATCTCACGGTTCCCACGATGTGGGAGTTCGAATCCCACATCGGGCTTATTGCTGTCAGTGTAGAGCCCACTTGGGCTCCTCTGCCCCGCTCTCTATCTGCCCCCTTCCCTTTGATGCTTTCGACCTCTCAAAAAATGAATAAACACGTATTAAAAAAATTACCCATGAAACTATAAAATTTTATCTAAATTTTATATTGGTTGTAACCAAACAATGGAGATATGGGTAAAGCATCATTCTCCGACACCTCTCTCTCTCTCTCTCTCTCTCGTTTTTCTCTGTTGACAGGACTTTGTAATGACAGGCTTTGCTTCTGGAAGGTATCTTGGAAACGTGTTCTCTTGATGTTCTATCATTAAAAAATCTTAATGACCAAACAACTCAATGCCTCATTAACACTGTGCTTCTTCTCATCCCTGGTGCGGCGCTCTGTCATCTGGAGCCCAGCCAGCGTGGCAGGGGGTGTCGTCGGGCCTGATGCTGGGGCTCACCTTTTCACTGTCTCCCTCCCTGGTTCCTCCACTTGGCTGGTTTGGAGAGAGGGAGGAGCCTTTGACTTGTGTTAAAAGCTACAGCACCTGGGAATTTTTAAAAATGAGGTTTGGTAAGACGTGTAGACATGGACACGCTCCCCAGAAGGAAGACATTTTTATTTTCCTCACAGTCCCCTAGGCACAGGGAGGCGTGGCGCTCCACACATGGCCGCAGGGGGAGGCAGGGACTTGGGATGAGCAGACACAGAGAGAGGACCTGTGGGCCAGTGGGAGCCTTTATTACGGTTTTGTGGGCAGGAAGCAGGCTCAGCAAGCTAAGAGGGCTTAGGACTGACCAGTTTTGATTTCAGGGGGTTCTGGGCACGAGAGCGTCCCTAGTTGTGTGGTGTCCGGCCCTGGGGCGATTAGGGCGGGAGGAGAGTGGCCCGGAGCACGAGATCAAGGGGATGGTTGGAAGTGTGGGCTGTGGCTTGATCCATTTGTGTACCCCACGTGCTGTCCTAGGAAAGACTTTGCCGTCTCTAGAAAGTCTGCCCCTGGGAGCGGCAGTCCCTCCAGGTCAGCAAGGCCCCAGATGTTCGAGCATCATGAATACAGAAAACAAGAAGACGTAGTTAATACACAACTCAGTGCTAATCCTCAGTGTATTCACTCCACTGGCTTAAATAGAACAATGTAGAAACCAACCAGAGGCTGCCTTTCCAAATTACTTACTTTTATGATACAGTTATTTGCCAAACAAAAGATTATCTAATATAAAACTATCTGATTTATCTTGACTAGACCTTCTTATTGATAACATCCCTCTCTCTCTCTCTCTCTCTCTCTCTCTCTCTCTCTCGTGCGCGCGCACACACACACACACACACACACACACTTTTATGGCAGAGGCACAATAGGCTAAGACCTCAACTGTAGGTGAGCGTCTGTCTTCTGATGGACTGTGAGTGGCCCTCGGTGTTCAGACTGTCTCCCCTTGGGGCAGCGAATACCACCCCTGCAGCGGGGGTTGGGGGGGGGGGCAGACAGGAGCACTTGCCTGAGTGAGAGCCAGGCCTCCGGCAAAGAATAGACCTCTGGCATGAGGAGAGCCCTAGGACCTGCAGGGGAGCAGTGTTGCTGAGGTTTAGAAGCCTAGGGTTTCTCTAGGGAGTGAACCCTACTCTGTTGATTCTGGATATGGTTCGTGCCCATGCTGTCCCTGCTTACATCTGGTAGGTTCCACACAGACATACGTTAGGGAGCCCAGCACGTAGAGCCGGGTGGGACGAGGTAGGCCTCACTGGGATGTGGCCATTGGGTATTGGCAAGATAAAGGGCACGCCAGCCCTGTGAATTAGAGCTCTATGCATGCACTCTACGTCTAGCTGTGTGTGTTTCCAGGTGGAGGGGCCTCTACTCGAGGAACACTCTCGGTCTGCTACCTCGTCCCCTTTCCTCTCTTCCCCGGTCATGCCATGAGTTACCCGATTGGCAGCTGACCCTCCACCTCGACTGGGTACCGCTAATCCATTAATAACAGGAAAGCACCAGGGATTCATTTCCTTCTCTCTTCCCGCAATCCTGGGTCCGCATGCGTGCTTTGTAGCCTCTCAGGTGGGGTGGGCTGTGAGCAGGATCCTTTGACACATGTATAGAACCATATCTTGAAAATGACTTAACAACAATAAAAATGCCATTATGAGCTCCACCTACTGGTTGCCCAGTTGCCTCATTTCTCAATGGATTACGACCCGCAAAGGAGGAAAAAAACAAAGTGCTCTTTCTTGGTTTCCTACACACCAGCGTCATCCCATGGTTTTTCCTGTGCACGTGGCAGGAGGAAGTTTCTAGAGAGAGGTGCAGAGGCCTGGGCCTCAGTCTTTACCTACCCATCCCTCACTTGTGACCCCACGCAGTTCACTGGACTTCCTGGCTCTCTGTTTCCTCATCTGTTGAGTGGATGAGTTTGTCTAAAATGACCTCCGACGACGTTTGATTTCTACCTTTGCTTCTTCTCCAGGTCCCTCCTTGTGCACTTTATCTGAACATTGTGGTACATGGGGTGCTTCCTGAGCAGGGTAGTTTTATAAATGAAGGTCAAGGGTTTGGGTTTGCACTCCACCAATGACACCGGAAACTGGCCGTGATTCTTACCAAAGACCCAGGAATGGGTTCCAGGGAGTCTGTTAACTCTCTGAAATTGTATGAAAATGGCGTATGAAATGGTGTCTGAAAATGGTGTATTTCCACAGATCCTCAGAGGTTCGCCAAGTTCTCAAGTGAGTAGGGATTGCTGCTGCTGGGGAAGTCACAGGACAGCATGATGTGAGTGGGGAAACCTGTCCCCAGTTGGAGAGCAAGGCCTCGAGAGAACAGCTTAGGACACGATCGGTGCACAGAGTGGGGACCAGCCTTGTGTCTCATCCCTAATGCCCAACTGAATGAACTTTAACAGTCTTGCAGGGCTGCTCGGCCATTCTCCACTTCTCCGCCTGTTTAAGTGAAATACATTAGTTGATCTTCACGGACAAAGAGAAGGTCATTAATTAGGCAGTGAGATTTGGGACCAAGATATAATGGTTGCCTCTGATATGAAAAGAATTGATGAGGAAGTTTCCAAGTGGATTAAAGAAAACCTTAGATTGCTCCCCTGTGGAGTTCTCCATGACTCAAATGAACCAGGCAGTTCTCCATATGATTTGGAACTGTGTGGATGTGCTATAATCTTTTGTGGGCTCTGCCAGTTTTCCTCTCGATCAGTGACTCTACAAAGTATTGTCTTTCGTGCTCAGTTTAAAGCCTTTAATCAAAACCTTTTCTGCTCCTCTGAGCTACACAAATGGAAGGTGTATGCGTACCTCATTTCTCTTGCCTTTTCTGTATTCATATTGGTCTCGGGAGAGTGACTTCATATGATATATTAAGCCTTTGAGTTTATGAACTGTGCAATCGTAAGAAAGATGGTTATTCTACTTTCCAATGTTCTGGGCTTTTGTCTTCACATCCATCCGTTCAATTAACTCAGATCCTATTAATTCTGAAGAGTAAATGATGTTGAAAAAAAAAAGAAGTGGCTTATAATCAAATGAGATATTTTACTGACAAAGGAAATAATCTCAAGGATATCTGTGTGTTTGCATAAGGCGTAGGTGAAGACTTGATAAATTCTGCTGGACGAGGTGATGTGGGAAGACAAAAGTACTCAGTAAATGAAATCTCTGAGAGATCTTCTGAATCATTTCATAAAGCAAGTTCAGAATTTGAGATAGCCAAGTTTAATTCAGTTTTTAATTCAATTGTTCAAGCCATCAGCCGAATCTTACAATTTTTCTTTGGTTACCTCATATCACCCGCTGGCAAAGTTGAATTTGTGAATTATTTGATTTTGATTGAAGGACCGTCATCTCAGAGTCCCCAAAGACCTGTATTTCGAACAGGAAGAAGAAAAGAAAAATGAGTTACCGATGCCCTGAAAGCTCTCCCCAACTCTTATCAGGTGCTGCAGATATTCTAGAGATGGAAACAATAGCAAAGATCCTGCATCACTGCCGAACTATTAGAGTACAGAGCAGATGTTGGTATGGGAGGACATTGTTGTTGGAGCCTCTCCTGGGTCTGCCGAGGAAAAAGCTGGCCTTAGTCCTGCAATATGCGGGCCGAATAGTTCTCCTTGGTTACGCGGACCCTCAGACTGCATTGAAGCTAGTGATGTGATTTCTGCCAAGTTCACAGGCAGGTCAAGAGAGCTGTGTACGTACCTTTGTGACATTTCACTCAAAATGCTGGTGGTGGGGTGAGGGGCACAAAGAGTAATTGGAAGGCAACGCCTTCTGTTTTATGTCTGTTTTAAAATGCTAAATGTATTTCTTTACAGTCATTAAAAGAAAAGACTGATTTAAAGAGATATCAAGGATGTGCTATTAAATGATGCACGCATAGCAGGTAATCCATCTAATACCATACACTTTTCTTTCTTTCCTTTCTTCTTTCTTTCTTTCTTTCTTTCTTTCTTTCTCTTTCTCTCTCGCTTTCTTGCTTTCTAAAAATAACTTTCAGGGGCGCCTGGGTGGCGCAGTCGGTTAAGCATCCGACTTCAGCCAGGTCACGATCTCGCGGTCCGTGGGTTCGAGCCCCGCGTCGGGCTCTGGGCTGACGGCTCAGAGCCTGGAGCCTGTTTCCGATTCTGTGTCTCCCTCTCTCTCTGCCCCTCCCCCATGCTCTGTCTCTCTCTGTCCCAAAAATAAATAAAAAAACGTTGAAAAAAAATAAAAATAAAAATAACTTTCAACAAAATAGCGTCCCTACAATAAATAAAAAAACGTTGAAAAAAAATAAAAATAAAAATAACTTTCAACAAAATAGCGTCCCTACAATATGACTCTAGGTATGCATTGGTTGAACATGGAGAAAACCATGGAAGCGTTCCTGTTTGGCTGTATATTGGCTACGCAGGCTGGGGACATTGGGAAGAGTGGTGATGTGCCGCTAAGAGGCATCGTATTCTTCAGTGAGCATATGTTCTCATAAATTTGGAAGAGAAATGTAAAAAAAAAATTTAAATGGACAATTATTTATTGCTCACGTAGTCCTAAAGCAACAGGAGCACACAGTTAAAAAAGAGAAAACTGCATCATCCAGAGTATCAGCCCTATAATCCATAATCCCTCAGTTTTCTGTTTTCTTTACTTCTTGTCCTAATGGGTATGTGTCATTTTTCATAGTTAAAGTCATAGTAAAAATAAAATTTTTATTCAGTTTTCCTGACTTACCTTGTGTTAGGTGTACCATTTTATTTTCCTTTAATGTTAATCATTTAATTCTTGACATATTGATAAAACACCGTAGAGAGTCAGTAGCGTGATTTACTTAACCATCATCAATTTCTGGAGATTTAAATGTTTGTACTTTTCTTTGTTAAAGATATTAAAATAATGTATAGTTTCTGTATAATGCTGTTTCCATTTTATTTTTTAGTTTTTAGTTTTTTAGAGAGAGAGAGAGAAAGAGCGTGAGCAGAGAGAGAGAGTCGGGCAGGGGGAGTCTCAAGCAGGATCCTTGCTGTCAGTGCAGAGTTGGATGCGGGCTCAATCCCATGACCCTGGAATCATGACCTGAGCCGAAATTAAGAGCCAGATGCTTAATTGACTGAGCCGCCCAGGTTTCCCAACACTTTTTTCGTTTTAAAAAATTAGGTGCTTCCTTAAATTAAAGCCCCAGATTCGGAGTTTTAGAAATGGATAAAAAAAAATTACGGGTATCTTCATCATAATACACTTTAAGGAGTACTAATAATATCTCACTCACATTTCACATTCCCTGAAGCGTTTGGAAAACAATCTGGCAAAAAGACGCCCCAAAGAAGTCTAGAAGTATCTGTGGGAAAAAAAGAAATGTGTATTTATGGTAGAGTTAGTAGGCTCAGTTAGTTCCTTGACGACACTCCCAACTTTGAACTACGAAGTTGGAGAACTTTGAACTGCAGCCTCTCATGGCTTTGAGATAGGGTTATACTGCTCATTGATTTTGCTTCTTGATGATGAATTAGCCCTCGACAGTCTGAGTCGAACTTGTGAATATGGCAGAGGCAATATGTAGCTATCAAGAAACAGTCTTCAGCTATACATTAGTTTTGGCACAGAAAGACACATAAGGGAGTTGCTTTGCCAGGCTACAAGTCTATTTCTCTTTTACATAACGGTCCAGACCTGGCCAGAAAGCCCTGGGCAAATTAAGTGGGGTTGCTTCATGAGGTTATCTTGGTGGCCGGGCTCCTCGGTTGGCTCTGCTTTCTCAACAGGTAGATATCATCTCAGGGTGCAAGTATGTTTCTTGGCATTAGTTGGTTGCCATTTTCTAGTCAGTCAAAAGTGGGAAAGAGGAAGGGGACATAAGCAGCTTCCTGACATGAGGCAGAAGTAACACAAGGCTTCCATTTGTTAAGCATGAGTCACATGGCCACACCCACCTGCAAGTAAGGCTGGGAAATGTAGTCCCTGTTTTGACGGCTTTGTGCCCAGGAAGGGAGAATGGATAGTGTGGGACCATTACCAAGATTTGCTACAAGCTGGGCCACGTTTCCAGAACTTGATCAAGCAAGGATGTGTGAATCCTGATGTCTAGGGCTCAGAGAATAAAGCAATCAGAAAAAGGTGATATACCTTAGTGGTTTTAATGGTAAGAGAGCTGGACTTTTATTTCTAACTTCTGGAAAAATGGGCATTTTTTTTTTTTTTTGGTTTACTTCATACATGCTCACTTATAGATTAAAAATGATAGCTTCTTTTTTTTTTACAGTGCTATTATAGGAAATAAGCAATTCTAAGATATAAAAAAACCCCTCCTGATTATGCTCAGAAAATAGAAAGTACAAAGAAGAAGATATCAATATTCAGTAATCCTGTTGCCATGAGATAACTATTTGTAAAGATATATATACACATATTTCTTCCAGTAAATTTATGATCATAGTATGCATACAACTTTGTATATAATTTTCCATTAATATCATATTATAAACATTGTTTCTATCCCTAAAAAAATCTCTGAAAATATGACTTTTAGTGACTCTCAATATAATGGGCTGTTTTTCAAATATTTTTGGGAATTCCTTGTAAGTTTCTGTAGATTGAAAACAGTGCTTCATCATCAAAAACAGACTAGTATAACATGTATGTAAAAGGGACCTTAGAGGTGGTCCTAATATAATATCTGCCTTTTGTAAGTCAGGAGGCTGAGCCGCACGGATGATCAATCAATATCTCTATATTACGAAACAGCGATATCCTCTGTTTTCTGATTCCTGGTTTAGAATTCCTCCACTGCATTACTCCACTTGCATTGTACCCCTTTAGAGAGCTTACCATCTAAGGAGGACACAAAGAAACTTTTTCCTAGATAGTCTCCAAACGACAGCTCCTAAAAGTCCTCCTTTATGAAGCCTTCCCCGATCCCTGTGAGACTTCAGTGCCTTTTGGGTTCCCCAAAGCTTGTGTCCACCTCTCATGGGTAGGATGAGCCTGCATTCATGTTCCTAAAAATTGTGGAGGCCGAAAGAGCTTTTATTTATGTGAGTTATCTCTATTTGTATTTTCCATGTCAGTAATTAAACCTGAGAAAGTTTAAAATACTAATTAATTAAATTCACTTAAAAATGACAATAATATTTATAGGACCCAGAAAACTATAACTTCCCAAATGAAGAAACTTCAGTGAGAAGGGTAGTATTGTGTGACTCACTAATTTCATTAGCGTCTGCCTTAGTAGAAAGGTAGCTGAGTTAGCATGCCTGTTTTTGCATTTAATCTGCTACGATACGTAAAGAAGACTCAGTCTCACACGTGTGGTTGGTTGGGCCAGGGAAGGCTAGGTTAATAGCCTTTTCGGATAATCGCGGATATTCTTTGATGTACCAAATTCAGAAAGTCGTAGTCCCCACCCCCTCCAGCTTTACTGAGGTATAATTGACACATTAAAAGTGTAGGTATTTAAAGTGTACGACATGAAGATTTAGTATATGTATACGCTGTGAAATGATCACCAAGCTAATTAGCCCCGTTTCTGAAGGGTTAGTTGCAGGATAAAGGCTGAAACCTGGTGGGCAAACCTGGGGTACTCTGGGCACTCAGATGCACCGGGCGAGCTCTCGCCTTGGATGGAACTTTACCCCACTCTGCTCTCGTACCGTCAGGCACTGGTAATTCGGAAAATATTGGTTCTTCGTGTTCTGCAGATCTTCCGTTTCATATACGATGTCAGAACTTATACTTGTTAGTATTGCTACTGACTTCATGATGAAAAAAATCTTTAAGTATTGGGAACTTCTAAAATTCTATTTTATTTTTAAAGGTTTATCTATTTATTTTTGAGAGAGAGAGAGAGTGAGAGAGAGAGAGAGAGAGGGAGCGCCATGAGCAGGGGAGGGGCAGAGAGACAGGGGGACAGAGGATCCTGAGCAGGCTCTGTGCTGACAGCAAAGAGCCTCATGCGGGGCTTGAACTCATGACCTATGAGATCATGGCCTGAGCCTGAGTGGGACGCTTAACTGATTGAGCCACCAAGGTGCCCCCAAACTGGCTTTTTAAAGGAAACCATGGTGATGAATTTCATGAACACTGGCACAGCTCGGTGCCACGCCTTGATTCCTGCAAAGCACAGCAGCTTTTACCCATCGATGGGTAAACTTTTACCCATCGATGGGACAGTACTACTGTCCACGCAATGGGAGATGTCTAAGCATTATTATGAGAACAGTTTTGAACTTGCACACTCCTGGAAGGGTCTCCTGAGCATTTGTGGACCACGCTTTGAGAACCTCTGACCTAGAGGAAGGGGGAAGAGGGTGAGGGGCTGTGGGAAAAGTCGAGAGGAGGGCTCTGGACTCTGATGGGCGGAAGCACAGGCTCTGAAGGCATAGCAGGCAGGGTGGCCGCAGGCTGATAATTAAAGCTGAGAGAGGCCTCTTCAACCTCCTGCAACAAGTTGTGGGCGAAAAGGGGGGGGAGCGTCATGGAGCACAGAACAGAGTAGCGGAGCTGGCTGAGAGCAAGCGGGGTGAGTTACGAAGGTGGTCCGTGATCAGCTTTATCCAGTTTAATTCCCTTTGTGGCTGGAGGAAGCCCTTGGCTAGAGGTGGTCCTGGCACGCTCTGTATTCGTTGTTTATCTGCTCACCCAGAATGGTTTTCCTTCCGATTGGGAGCTTCTGGAGGGCAGGACCCACATCTACGCATAGTCTGGCCCAAAGCAGCTGCTTGATAAATATTTTCAGAATGGATGAAGACACACACAGCATAGTTTCTTATCAAATGTGATAAGAACAGAGCACCCGGACTGGATATTAAAGACTACCCAAACAGAATAGCTTCAGGCAGAAAGATAGGAAGAGGCAAATAACACTGTGCCAGGCTAAGGGAGAAGAGCACACTAAGGAGAGTGACCCAAATGTTAAACTCTGCAAGGAGGTAGAACAGAACGGACTCTGTTCTGTCCTTTCCGGACTCATTTCATCGTCTACTTTTCTCAGCTGGCTTAGTAATTGTGTGCCCCTGGAGGGGAACTGTGTGGGTGGAAGTAGACTCAATACAAAATGAGGAGCTTCAGTTGGTCCTTCTAGAACCACATGATGCCAGAAGGCTTCATTTTTGTGCTTTGTGTAGAAATTAGAACCCGGGAAACCACATCAGCGAAACTCAACAGTAGATTGGCATGGCTTCTATGAAGGAACATCTGTCTGTAATCATTAATGTAATCCCATTTGACTTTATTAGCCAAGGTAATATACATTGATAACCTGTATATGTTGGCCTTGGCTCATATTATTCTATTAACACACAGTAGCCTTGTAAGATTATTTTATAGATAAGAACAGAGGCTCAGAGAAGCGAGATGACTTGTTCAAGGTCAAAAAGTGCGAACAATTCGAGCCCAAGTTGTTCTAAAAGTGGTTGTGTTGGGAAGGGGATGAGGCACTTTGGGAAGGTGGGGTCTACTTTAATTTGAAATATTACCTTTGGTACTACAGGGTACGGGTTGTATTTGACTTCTGGGAAACTGAAGAACTTCTCTCTGTAAATAATACTTAGCACTAACCTTAGGGCTCATTTCACTAGTCAGTAGGGAATAAATTATCTACCTTTTAGAGGTGGATGAGTAGGTTGTAGGATATTAGGTTGCAATTTCGCTAATTGCTTTTCTGATGCATTAAATGGCTATTGATTCCAAAGGTGAGCAGTTCATTTCCTGCAGACTGATCAGAGAAAACATAATATCCGTAATTATTATTATTATGAAATGTATATTCCTTTTGGAAAGGGGCTTGTCACGAGTGCGATCTGAAGCTCTTAGGAAGGTCAACAGACAAATCATCAATAGGAATAAACTGAACATCAATCCTTCATGGAAACCTGGCCACCGATTAAAGAGCAGAGGTAATTGCGTTACTTAATGGAT